GAGCAGGGGTTCCAACAGAGGCCTCCCAAGGCCAAGAGCAGGTGGGAACACAGTGCGGGAGGAGGACAAGGGGAGACAATGGTCAAGACGAGCAGGCTAAACACCGGTGCATGTCTACAACAGGGGCCCAGTGCCAGCACCCGAAGCTCTTTGGATGGTCGCTCTAGCACTGGGCTATCACTGGTTGTGTCTAAGCAGCAGCGTGAGACCTGAAGTTAGTATTAACTGGCAGGGCCTTAAAGCAAGGGCCAGCAAACTACAGCCCATGACACAAACTCAACCCGCCACCTGAGCTTGTTAATAGAACTTCGGTTTTGTTTCTTTGTGGCACTGGGGATTGAACCCAGGACCTCATGCATGCTAGGCAAACACTCTACCATTGAGCTACATCCCAGCCTGTGAATAAAATTTGATTGCACGTAGCCACCCCATTTACTTAAGTATGAAGTTGAATAGTTAAGACACAAAGTCAAAAATATTTACCACCTGGCCCTTTACAGAAAAGTGTGCCAATGCCAAAGTAGGAATTAAAGGTGGAAAGAGACTGAGCTAGGAAGATTCTTCAAAAGTTGCAACACAGTGAAGGGAGTGAGGGAGCAGCAGAACAGAGAAGAACGAGAATGTTCTGAGAAACAAGAATGCCTTCGTGGATATAACCTATAGCCTTCACTGAGAGGATGCTCCAGGAAACACTGGAAGGCTAACATATTAGTAGAATAACTAAGCTTAATACAGCCTACTATAATTTTATCTGAAGGTCCTGGGGTTTGAACTCAGAGCCTTGCATTTGCTAAGCAGGTCCTCTACCACTGGAGGCACTCCCTCAACCCTCTCTGCTTTAGTTATTTTTGGAATAAGGTCTTGTGTTTATGCCTGAGCAGCCCTAGACCATCTTCCTCCTATTTGGGCTTCCCCACATAGCTGGGATGACAGGTGCACACCACCACGCCCAGCTTTTATTGATTGAGATGAGGTCTCATGAACTTTTCACCCAGGCTGGCCTTGAACGAGGATCCTTCCAGTCTCCACCTTGCAAGGAGCAAGAATTACAGGCATTAGTCGCTGCACTTGGCCTATAATATTTTAAGTCATAAAAATAATTTTTACTAGGTGATAGCCAAAGCAGCTTCCAGAAGAACCATATCATAGGATAAAAAGGTCACAATAAAACTATTAGCACTACTAGTCATATACGATTATTTAGTCATGTCAGTACTATAAAACTCAGCACAACTGTTCAATGTGCACGGCATTTCCATAAGGACCCCCGCTGAGGTAGAGACTGACCACAGGACAGAGGGCTCCAACCTGTCTCAGGTAACCCAAGAGCTGCCAGCCACAGCTGCCAGAATCACCTCCATCATCTCAGCCCTGCCATCACTCCTGCTTACAGGACACCCACGGCTCCCCCTGCTCCTCCCGGCTTGACGGCAGCTTAACCTTCCGGCCTCACCTCCAGGTAACCGTGGAGCAGTCACGCTGCTAGAGCACCGTGAGCAAGCCCTGTGCAGAACACTCACGTGATTTACCCCGATTAAACACTGCCACCGCCACCACTGCATCAGCTTCGATGAATATGCCACCAACCCCTTCCAAAGCACAGCCATGTATTCGCATCAAATTTACAAAACTGAAATTGTTTTGATTATCTTAAACGGATCCCAAACACTGTGTAAGCTTGAGGGTGCACACGCGGGGTTGTCTGCCTCCGACTACCCAGTTCCCATTTTACTAGGGCTCAGAGAAGTTCGGTAAGTTCACAGTCTGAGATTTAACTACAGCATCAAGGCCACATCTCTGTTCTTGGTGTTCCCACTGCACAGACGGCCACTTTTCCACTCTCTACGTTTATCACCAGCAGGCTCCTACCCATCTTCCAAAGGCCCACAAAAATACGACCCTTTCTTCAGTTTCCTCTGACCCCTCTAAAGAAAATCGAGTTATCCTTTTAGCAATCCCCCTATTTTTAACTACCTATAACAGTACACATATGACATAATATAACAAAAGCCAAAATATAACCTTTTGAGGTTAGATTGGCCTATGTTCAAATTATGGCTTTGCTGCATACTTCCAGTGCAACTGTGGGCAAAATATTCAACCACTTAGACCTTCAAGATATTTACCTTCAAAATAAAAGTAACACTTCTCACTCTATGCATTCATTTAAACATCCATCCATCCTTTATCCAATCAACAAATACTGAGTGCCTACTAAATCCAGGTGCAAAGCGTCTGTAACCATGGAAATCAGAGGTACCATTTCTGTACCATAGCTTAGAGACTGGTGGACGATAAGAATCCAGAGTGAGCAGAGAACTGTGAGCAAGTCCCAGGCGGGACAGAAAAACTCAAGGCAGGGGTGGGGTGGGGGGGTGGGGTCAGGTGAGGACAGTGCTGATGAACAGCAATTCAGTGCTGTAAAAACATAAAAAAGCAAATATGCAAGACACATACCACAAGTAATTTCAATTTAATAAAATACTTCCACCCCACCCACACCCTCATCACGTGTACCCCATTTCTTAAGCACTTGAAAACTCCTGTCAGGGAGTTAGTTGATTTTTCACAGTAAGTGGGTCAACAAAAATGGAATCTCGTGCGTTACACTGGACAGAAGAGTCAGTAAGACCAGCAGAAGGGGCCAAGTTTGTGTAAATAAAATTGGGCTCCTTCTTTGCATTCTGTCATAGCCACAAGGATTCCTTGACATTGATTCCTGTTTTCCGTGTGAAAGCACTTCATGACAGAACAAGGAAATCATTTTTACATTTTTCTGGGGGTTGAGCTGCTACAAAAAGTGAGAGAGCAATTGCAGCTTTCAAAAGAGATGCTAATTGTAGCTTTTAAAATATTAGACTCCCTCTAAACACCCGTCACCCTCACCCCCTAAGAGTTTCTGGGTCTTTCTTAAAGGTGCAGAGAGGATATTACCAAAACAGATTTCGTGTTCCTACCTAAGGATTTTAAAACATTTTTGTTGAGTGAATCACTCCTAGTTTTTCAGGGGTCCTGAGTCTGCCCTCTGTGGCAGCACTGAAAAGGAGCTACATGTAATCAGAGAGCAATCAGAAAGACCATAAAGAGGAACTAATGAGCTCTTTCCATGTCAACTTGGACTTCTACCAGAATATCAGAGGCAGGACTGGAGTCTTCCTCACAAGAGGGCTCCAGGCAAAGATAAGGAAGGAGACTCCTGCCTCTTACTGCCTGGGGTCGGGGAGGAAAAGGTCACCATGTTGACAAATCTATTTTTAAATGCTTTTCTTTACAGTAAATGACAAATTCATGGGGCAGAAGCAGGGGTAGCAACAACTGCGCACACAGACTACTGCTTTATGTTCAGTTATTGGGAAATCACCCTATTCCCATCAAAAGATGGATGTGGAGGAGGAGGGAAGGTGGAAGAAGGAAGAAAACATGGAACAAGACCAAAATTAACTTATAGAGCATCAGTACTTGTGTAAAGGATGTCGGGAAGCTTCCAACAGCAAAGAGGAAAATGGAGATTCTGGAAAGGTAGAACATTATTCTTGTCAAGCTATCAATACTTTCAGCGTCGAGCTGGAAACGTGGAAGACACAAAACCTTTAGTTGTGAAATCCATAAGATTATTTTGTGTATATCACACTTTCCCTGCTGATATAAAGGTTTGCGATCTATTTTTTAAGGGGCTAATCTCAACATGAGAAAATACTGATTGAGCTCCATTTCTGCTGTGAAGTCCATGAGGCATAAACACAGTCAGGAAAACTTAAACACACATCCTTTAGCTCCAGGTTGCATGGATTTAAGTTTCTGTGATTTACAACTACATTTACACAGTGGGATTAGAATCAGATTAAAGAAGAGATGGGCTCTAATCTATAAAGGAACCTAAAAAATGTGGAAATCAGCATCGGAAATAATATCCAAAAATTATATATGCTTGCAGGGAAACGAGTATATGTGGATGGAAAAAAAATTTGAAAAGAAGCATGAGTTAGGGATGGGAATGGCAGTAAATCCTATGCATTTTCACGTGAGTACACACATGCACACATGCACACGCACACACATACACAGCATCCTTGCTTTAGAAAGCATCCTCTGTGCTTTCTAAACTGCCAGCTAAGGAAAATCCCACTTGCTGTGGGATTATCGTTTTGCTGGGTGGGCCATACATGGCACATGATACCAGCACTTCTCTTCCTACCTTCATTTCTCCTGCAGTAAGCAGCCCCTCCCCTTAATGTCTGAGAAAAATGGTTAAAGAACGGTGGTTAACGATGCTAGACCAGAGTCTCCCAGGACACGGGCCTTGTTCCTGCCAGGAGTGCAATCAGGAGTGCTTCACACTCCCTTGACATGTGGGACCTCCATTCTCCTGCTGTCTGTCCTTGTTCCTCTTAAATCAAAACTCAAATTCCTATAAATCTCAATGTCCCCTGAGACAATCAAAATACTAAAGTAACTCAGTAGGAGGCTGACCAACTGATTTTACCCTACCGGAGACCGCTGATCACTCAAAAGGGAGCTTGGTGACCTGAATAAAGATCTCTTTGGTAAAATGTGTTTGGAGACCTTCCATCTATCTCTAAAAGGATGGCTAACTTCAAACATCTCCCTGAGATGTTTTCCCATGCATCCCAGGTACCTACCTACAATCCTGTCTTATAAACACCCTCATTAATTAATCGTATATCCATTTCCTACAGGAGTTGAAACTGTGAAGCCCTAACAGTTCTGGAAAGACACTGTTCATTCAGCACTTCCCACATTTCAATATCCCAAATCCATGTACCTATATGTACAAATGCTACCAATCCCATGAATCAGCTCCTGGCTTTGTACCAATTAGCCAGAGTGATTTCAAAACTTAACTGAAAAGTAACTTAAGTCAACAGGGCCCCGTGAAAGATGGAATGAAAGCTGTTTCTCTGTTGAGAGAGACCACTTCAAAAGGAGGGAAGGAGAGAAAAAAAGGAAGGAAGAAAACCCAGTTGAAATTCAGCATTTACTTGAAGAGGAGCCAGCAGAATGGAGTGCGTGGACAGTTTCAGAGCACAGAGGGAAGACGCTGTCAGAAGGCCTCCTTGGCACTATTGAATTTCTTTGGTGGCAGCCTCGGCTGGGAAGGCAAAGCACAAAAGTTGCATTCAGGGTTCTGGGAAGCAAAAGGTGGTGTCTGTGGACTTACGGGGATAGAACGGCTCAGGAATCTGGCTGAAGAGGAAGACAGCCCAGTGTAGGAGGGACGGAGGATGGTGGCATGGTCCTCAGACTTGGGACTCAGAGGCCCCAGGTGGCTGTTGAGGTTGGTGCCACTGCTGCCGCTGCTGCTTTTGATGTACTGGTTGTTGTTGAGCTCAGGGTAGTTTCTAGCAGGTGACTGGGGACTGCCATTCAAGAGGTTGGTGAATGGGCTGGCTGTGAAACTTGCCTTGGAGGACGAGGATGTCTTTCTGTTCTCAGGCTCGTCTGTTGCAGCGTTCAGGTTCCCCAGAGAACTGGCTAGCCGGGAGTTTATGGAAAAACTGGATGGAAAACACAGGTGAGGAGGAAAAAAAACACAGAGAACAAGGTACACTCACAAAGAGCCTGTTTCCTAGACAGGTACACCTGGCTTTCTAGGGAGGTCATGAGGATGATTCTGATCAATGCAAACCGTGACCCAATGGCTTCTTATTGCTCTTGGTGACATTATAGCAGGCGGCCTTTAGTTACACACATCCAAGACCCTTGGTCAGAAGGAATTAACTGAAACCCAAGAGCTGGCTACCGCACTTTGACTAGTGACCTTACAATACAACCTCTGGGGGCTCCATCTGCCCTGAGGCAAGAGGTGAATGAAAGTAAGTAATATGTCAACTGCCCCAGCCCGATATGGTTAGTTCTCACCTGCGACATAAACCAGGGAAAACTGGCAATGTCCTGTGTTCTTTGTATGTGCAACTGCAAGTCATTTTCTGGATCACATTAAGCAGCTGGAGATTCAGTAGGTGAACAGGATGGTCTACAATATTGTCCCCATAGACTGTCCCCTCCCTGCAAGGAGATAGGAACTAAAGCCCCAGAAATAGCACAGTCTTGGGGTTTCTCTCCTTCTCCCTTGGCCCTTCCTGTCACAGAACTCCAGTCACACTCATTGCCTGCTGCACACATCCCTACCTCAAGCCAGAGTACCTTGGAAGGGAAAGAAAAAGTACCTTCTTATACTGGAGCCTGAAGATGAAGAGCCTCTGTTTATCCTCTTGGCCATCGCTGAAGGGGACGAAGCCACTTTTGGGGTCTTCATAGTAGACAGAGATGCTTGTGGGGAGGAACTTAATCTTTGGGGAGAAAAATGGACCAAGTGTCACATTAAAGCTGTGCTATGGTCAATATTCAGCAAACCTCCATGATATTGTGACAGGTCCTAACAGTGGTGACAGTTGCCAACACCAACACTGCTGGGCGCTGTGCAGAGCACCTGGAAGGTAGGAGCCGGGTTCGTGTTCACCACACCCTAGGAGGGAGCTGGTGCTGCTGACCCCACTACACACCAAGGAAAATTTCCTCATCCAAAGGCACCTAGTTGCCAAGTGGCAGAGTTGGGATCCAAGAGTCCTGTTCTTACCCAGGATCCTCTCATCCCTCACTGCTAGCATCTGTGCCTCAGCAGACTGCTAGGTCCCATTCAAAGCCATCCTCTCCTTTGCACCCTGCACCTGCTCTAGGTGGGGCCGTCTTATTTCCTACCCTATCTACCTGGACCTTATTCCTTAATCATTCAAATTGTGAATGGCCTCCAGGGAAATCTAAAATAGCTAGTCATGTCACCATTTAAACCCTTAGCCTTTCCTCAGTGCCTATAAGGCCCAAACTCCTTGATTTACAAAATCCTCCAAAATCTGGTGCTTGCCAATCTGAGCAGGCCCTACTGTCCTCTCTTTCCTCCTGGACACCTTGACTCTAGCTACACAAAACACCTTGAGCTCTCTGACGGTTCTGCACACACACCTAGGTCCAGTTGGGATGCTGCTTGTCCCACTAGGCCAACCACTTCCCACTGCCCCCTCTGCAGATGCCTGAGATCCTAAAATCCAGACTGGTTGTGCTACATCACACAGCTGTGAGAGACTAATAAAACGAACTGGATGATTCATAACAGCAGCAGATGAGCAGCTCAGTCTGGTCCTCTACTGTCTGCAGGAAACTCAATGAAGTGTAGAGTGAGGAAGATGGCTGAGTTTGATACAGTGCTCTTCCTGCCCTGTGATCATCACTGCTGTGTGGAGCTTGCTGCTGATGGGAGTGACGTTTCTCAGTCCCCCAGATGTCCTGGGGAGAAAAGATTGGCCACCACCTCCCAGGCACACCCTTCCTCTGACTCCCCATCTAAGGAGGTTCAGCCTGCAGCAAACAAAGTGATTGGTTTCACCTCCATAAATGGACCTGCATTCCTATTGCCCACCCTTCAATTGGACCAGTCAACTCGTGGACCTCCACACAGCCAAGCCTGCACTGACTTCCCAAGCAGAAGTTTCATAACCATATTTATTCCACCTGAGATCTCGTCTGTTTGCCCCATTAGACAGGCAAAGACTTGTCTCTTTTTGTCAACTTCCTAGGTGCTGGGTGAGATGCTGAGTGGTGCTCTGTTAAACATCTACCAAGGGACACAAGGGAAAAAACTGGCTCAAATCTGCGACAGGTCAGGGCTTGACCATGGTTTTAATTTCAAATATATTCTGTTCCGAGACAAAATGTGTCTGAGGTAGGTTCAGAATCGCTTTCCCATCTGGTTAGAGGAAAGCTTATTTACTTACAGACTTCTCCATCATCTGCCTTCCAAACAGCAGCCATGGGCTGCCTCAATCAAAACTGGGAAAAATTTGTACTACGACATGCCTTCAAGCTTTCCCTTACAACCGCCTCCACAAATGAATTCTAAGGCCTACA